GGGAGATACTTTGAGACTATACAAACTCTGTTTATCCTCAAATTTTTTCACCTACTAATTTTAATACTCTAGTGGTGACTTTTTTTCCTTCTGCGTCCTTATTAATTGAGAGTTTCCTTTTCCTCCCTTTTACTTATTTGATCATTTGTATCAGTATGGACTTATGGATATTGATTTTATTCTGTGGGTTAAAACACAATGCCATCATTGTTTTCTTGCTCAAATGCTTCCAATTTTGGCCATTTAGAGCTCAGTCTTTGAATTTAGATGATTTGTACTTGTAAGTGACTGTCATCCTTGCGTTCCCAGCCAGGAAACCACTGGGGTTTGGGCAGTGATCACTCAGAAGCCAAGTAAAACCAGGTAAAGGAGATGAATACCAGAGGCCCAAAGAAGGTAGGACAACCTGTGTGCAAACACAGCTCTCAGGAACTCTGCAGGAGTAAAAAGAGTAGCAAAATATCAGCCTTTCCCCTTTGCTGCTCCAGAGGCCCAAGGGAGTAGGATCATGTGCCTGGGGCCACATCATGCCCACTCTGAGATGCCTTTGACTTGCAGATGGGTTTGGAAGCCAGATGGGTTTGGAACGCTGAGTTGGCACTCTTAGCTGCTAAATGAAGACCACACCCTTTCTTCCTGGTGATAAATGCTTAGTATAAATATTTATGAAGTAACACCTGGTATCCTCCTTCCATTCCCCCATGGTGCAAAAATGCACTCCCATGGTGCAAAAATGATACTTAGTGCTCATGCTGATTTACCTTTTGCTATGGCTTATCTTCCTTGCTAGATTTTTTTCTTTCATTATTATGGAAAATTTCAAGCATATACAAAAGTAGAGAGAAAAAGGAAAATGAGCCCTTGGGTACCTATCACCTAGTTTCGATACATCTCAATATTTTGCCAATCTTATTTCATCTATTCTTCCATTTTCAGGGGTGGGGCTGGCATATTTTAAAAAATAAAGCAGTCATTGGGGCGCCTGGGTGGCTCAGTTGGTTAAGCGACTGCCTTCGGTTCAGGTCATGATCCTGGAGTCCTGGGATCGAGTCCCGCATCGGGCTCCCTGCTCAGCGGGGAGTCTGCTTCTCCCTCTGACCCTCCCCCCTCTCATGTGCTCTCTTTCTCTCTCTCTCTCATTCTCTCTCTTTCAAATAAATAAATAAATCTTAAAAAATAAAATAAAGCAGTCATTAAAATCTAAAAAAGGATTGACATAAACTCTTAAGTGTAAGGATGCTACCTTAATTCCCTTTTTTATCCCCCTGGTGCCTGGCACTATGCCTGAAAATAGCAGATGCTCAGAAAAGACTGGTTGAATTGGGAGGAGGAAAAAGAAAACTTATGAAAACATCATTTTGAACCATAGGGCTAACTTCTAGAAAATAAGTCTTGCCCTAAAATAACTTCTTTCACATTTCCTGAATTTATTGTCTAGGGTCACAATTTTCCTGTCACTTTTTTGGTAGAAAAGAAAAAACTCTTTTCAAGGGGAGGTTCAAGGTCTCTCAATTACTTATATGTTATTTTAAATAAGTCCAATCTAGTGACATTTTCCCAAACATTAATCAAGAATTACCTGCCGTAGGGGCGCCTGGGTGGCTCAGTCGTTAAGCGTCTGCCTTCGGCTCTGGTCATGATCCCAGGGTCCTGGGATCGAGCCCCGCATTGGGCTCCCTGCTCCGCAGGAAACCTTCTTCTCTCTCTCCCACTGCCCCTGCTTGTGTTGCCTCTCTTGCTGTGTCTCTCTCTGTCAAATAAATAAATAAAATCTTAAAAAAAAAAAGAATTACCTGCCGTAGAAAGAACTTTCTTTTGAAAATCATTATTTTTTAAGTTGTAAAGGTAATATAAACCCATCAAGAGAAAAATAGGAAGTAACAGAGAAATGGAAAATAAAAAATTCCCTGTATGTCAATATGTAATTCCCAAGATAACATCATGGCTATCAGTCTAATAAAATTTGAATTTGAATCACATTGGTAAATGATTACCGTGGTCCTGGGAATGTACCAGGTGTGTTGCATTGTCTCATTAAATTCTTATGGCAACGTTTTTTTTTAAAGATTTTATTTATTTATTCATCAGAGAGAGAACACAAGCAGGGGGAGTGGCAGGCAGAGGGAGAGGGAGAAGCAGGCTCCTCACTGAGCAGGGAGCCCTAGGCGAGGCTCGATCCCAGAACCCTGGGATCATGACCTGAGCCAAAGGCAGACACTTAACCAACTGAGCCACCCAGGTGCCCCTCTTATGGCAACATTTTAAGATAAGTCTGTGTGTGTGTGTGTCTGTGTATATATATACAATAATAAATAAATATTATATACATGTATGTTTAATACCTTGATAAACATGGTGAGAGGGGTTGCCTTCAGTCACTCAGCCAATAAGCAGGCTGGGCTGTCTCTTGAAAGACTGTTGGACTGGTGTTATAGACCATTCACACCTCACATATTTACTCCCAGAAACCGAGGAGACCTCATACTTGAGCTTCCTTCATGCTGGCTCTCTATGAGTTTTGAGGCTGGCACTAAGGCTTAGAAAAAAGGGGAAGTGATTATTTTTAACTAGATCCACGTCTCAAGAAGCCGAGTTAGCAGTGAGGGACTAATTATTAAGTAATCCGTAAGAATAGCTCCTTGCTTTTATAATAAATTTCTTATCTTTGGCCAAATTCCATGGTCTGCAGTTCAGCAATATTCGTCTATGATTATTCCCAGCTTGCTCCTGGTTGGGTGGGTTTTAAATCTCTCTAAGCCACTCTTCCTCCCTCTGTAACAGGACAGGGTGCTGGACTTGTGTGCGTTCTGGTCCTTTCTGCTTCTAACACCATAGTACCTCTGTGGTCAGAAGTCTCTTCAGCCAAGGGATTCTCCCTGTCGGGGCACTATTCCTCCATAAGCAGCTCTTAGAAAAACAATGTTCTCAATCTAAACTTTCCAAGAATGAGATGGAAGCGTTGAATCACTGTATTGTGTACCTGCAACTAATATTACACTGTGTGGTCAAGGGCAAGTTCCTTAATCTCTCTAAACCTTCATTTTTCTCCTCTATAAAATGAAGAGACTAATGATTCTTACCTTGCAAGGCTGAGAATGAGGATTAGATAAATCAATACAAGCGATTTAACCCCAGTGCATGCCACAGAGTAAATGCACACAAATAAATCACTCTTATTAGCTGTTATTACTGCCTTCAGTATCAATTTCTTTTTTTTTTTTTAAGATTTTATTTATTTATTTGAGAGAGAGAGAGAAAGAGAGCACGAGAGGGAAGAGGGTCAGAGGGAGAAGCAGACTCCCCGCTCAGCAGGAAGTCCGATGCGGGACTAGATTCCGGGTCTCCAGGATAATGACCTGAGCCGAAGGCAGTGGCTTAACCAACTGAGCCACCCAGGCGCCCTTCAGTATCAATTTCTTGTGATACTTTTGCAAGACCCTAAACACAGACCATACTGTTTAATTGCGTCCTGAGCCAAATCTTCTCTTTTGTGGCTTGACCCAGAAACCTAACCTCCATTTATAACATTGAATCTAGAGAGAAATGCTGTCTAGGTATCCCTCGAACTAACCTAGAGCTAAATTTTTGGAATACTACCCTTCAGTAAGTAGGGGACTATCTTGAGAGGTGCTTTTTGTTTTTCACAGTGAATTACCACATCCCTATGTCTAATTTAAAAAAGCAAACACGGGGCGCCTGGGTGGCTCAGTCGGTTAAGTGTCTGCGTTGGGCTCAGGTCATGATCCCAGGGTCCTGGGATCAAGACCCACGTCGGGCTCCCTGCTCAGCGGGGAGTTTGCTTTGCCCTCTTCCGCCCCCCATCTTGTGCTCTGTGCATCCCCCGCCCTGGCTAATCCCATACTCCTAATACAATTATTGTTAGCTTTGGGCTACATTTCTTTCTAGAGTTTTCTTATTTCTATAGTTTTAGTGGTAATCATATATACATACAGCATTTATTTCTGTTTTCCTTTTTGTTTCTTAAGATTTAATCATACCTTTTTCGTGTTACTACCTGGCAAAGAAAATATTTTGGTCTCCATCCTATTCATTTAACCGAGGATGTGTTTGGCTATGAAGATGATCGCTGCCCTGGCTGTATTTAGCATTTTCTGCACCCCTGTGATAACACGCTTAGAATTTGAGGAGAGAGGTGGTTGTGGCCACACAGGGAGGATGTGAGGGGAATTTCTGGCTGTCCCCCCGGGGGCCTTGCCAAGTAGCCTTCATCACCTTAGTGCATTCACTGTGGTCCAGGGTGGGCCTCCGCGTTGTGGCCTCCGAAACTGGATTTTTGTCAATAACTAAGAGCGTAGCCACCTCTCAGAGGTGAATTCATACTGTATCACCACATGCTTGTACAATGAAATCAGAATGGCAGTTCATCAACTGACAGTGAGAAGTAGTACAGTAGCGTGGCGCTTGTGGCAGCTACCCGCTGTGTCCACCTGTTGGCCATCTTTAGTCTAGAGTCACTTAATGGAAGTAATATACCAACAACAACAGTGATGGTCACCACTTAGTTGGTGCTCACTATGCATCAGGAGGTGGGCTAACACTTTATGTATTAATACATTAGGTCATTCAGTCCCACATTAACCTCTCCAGGGAGGTACCGTTTTTATCCCCATTTTACAGGTGAGGAGACTGAGGCTCAGTTAAGTGACTGGCTTGAAGTGTCATGGCTGATATGTGGTGGAGCTGTAGTTTCTGTCTAAATCCAAACCCCTGATCTTCAATGCTGCACTGTAGTTCTACCCGTTAGTCTTACAGATTACTGAGCCCTTGTGGTAACCGAGAGAGAAATCCTGTGATGTATAGATGGTTGGAACCCTCTGCCCCTGAAATCTCTGATTTTCTGACCTCAGAGCCCCCATTGGAGAGCTCCCATTATTGTTAGTCAAGATCCACTGGGGATAGGTTTTCAGTCTGTGATGGCGTGAATCATTCAGGATAGGATTTCATGTGAAACAACATGTCTTTGTGTTTGCCTTTCAGAGGCTGGAGCAGAACTACTGAGCAAAAGCAGGTGTCCCTAGTTGTCGCCACGTTTGCCGTTGGCTTGGAAAAGCTGAGCTTGAAGCTTCTTCTCTGTGGTGAAGTGGAGAGATACATATTGCTCACAGAATAACAGACATGGGCTTCCTACTGACTTTCCACCTTTCCTACAAAGTCCGGTTACTGTTGCTTTTTCTCTTATGCCTGACAGTGGTTGGGTGGGCCACCAGTAACTACTTTGTGGGGGCTATTCAAGACATTCCTAAAGCAAAGGACTTCATGGCTCATTTCAACAAGGTCCTGGTTTGGGGGAAGGAAGAAACTCTGACGAAGGAAGACTCCGTGAAAGAAGCAGACCTGGACGACTGCCCTTCTGTGTCTCCGTACCTCAGTAAGGCTTTTCGTTTTTTCTTGTTTACAAATGCTGTGTAAGCTTTTTAGTTAAATATAACATATATACAGAAAAGCACAAAAATCAGAAGTGTGCAGCTTGGCGAAGTTTCACAAAGTGAACATACGTGTGTGATCAGTATGTAAATTAAGAAATGGAATCCTCTAGAACCCCAGAAATTCTCAGCTTCTTTCAGTCATGACCCTGACTTCAAGATTCCAACACTAGGCATTAGATTTTTCCTGTTTTTTAAACTTTACATAATTAGAAACATGTACTGTGGTCTCTCTTGTGTCTGGCTTCTGTCGTTCAGCGTTATGTTTGTGAGATGTATCCATACATCTGCTGTGTGCAGTCCATCTTCCATTATATGAACATACCCAGTTTTATTACCAAGCCACTGGAGCCTCAGAAGCACACGTCAGTGGGAATGTATTTAGTTCACAAGTCTGCCAGATGAACTGGGGGTCCGTTGATCTAGGCCAGTGGCTCTGCTCCGTGGGTCTCACATCCTCCTCTGGGACCAGTGAGCTAGCCTGGGTCTGTCCTTCTCCTGACATCCACAGGGGACAGGTGGAGAAATCCCCTCCTGTCACATCTGTTAGCATTCCCTTGGCTGAAAGTATGGAGTCAAGGGACAAGACCGAGTGGGTTTTTCAATGTTGTCTTTAGTGTTTATTTCTTTCTTTATTTCTTTAATAATGTTCTGATTCCCCTTGGATGTCTTGCCTTTCTATTTAAATTAACAGTAAGTTGGTTTTATTGAACACCTTGATTAGAGAGGAAAAACTCCACGGTGATACTAGAAATCACCCACAGAGATTCTATCAGACCTCTGATTCTCCAGACCATCAAAGTCCTTGTAGTTCTCCAGATACTCCTCTGAGCCTAAAATTGTTTCCTCTTTCCAGACTGCCTTTCCTCAATCTGTGTCTGCCTGGTGGATTCCTGTTTGTTCATCAAAAATCTGATTTAGATTCTTCTCTCTCAGAAAAGTACATACACTAAAGTAGCCCTCCGTGGGGGTGGCTTCTTGCTCTTAGCTGAACAAACACCTGCAGACCCTCTTTCCTAATTGAATCACAGTCTTGTACTGTGTTCCTAGTGGCATACTGCTTCTCTTTACTCAGTTGTGGAAAAGCCAAAATAGGATTCCTGATCGTGTTGTGAGGGAAATTGTTCTGCTCACAAGTGATACAAGTTCAGATGGGAGAATGAGTTGTTGAAAGGCAAATTCAGCTGTGTTGTCTCCCTTGTTCAAAATTCTCACAACATATTTAAGCGATAAAAGTATTCGTAAAAATAAAATGGGCAGTGACCCAGTACTGAGGAAGTACCTGGATTAAGAGAGTGACAAAAGTAGTGATGAGTTAAGATGGGCCGAGAAGGGACAGAATTGGAGAAGATGCTGTGGGTGGGGCAGGGAGGCTGATAGAGGGGGCGGAAGCAGGCACTATAGAAGGTTAGGGCACCTACAAAGTTAGGACAATGAGAAAGTGAGCAAGGGGACTCGTTTGTATCAGACCTGTTGCATGGGGCTCCTTCAGGGGCAAGAATACAGGCTTAGGTTAACGCCGATGGTGGGCTTGTTAACGGGCTGCTTGGGAAACCATCTTAGCAGCCACACCATCCTACCCGCAGCAGCTCTGGTAGCTTGCCTTTCACACAACTCATTTTCCTACTGGTGGCTTTTCGGGCATCGCTGCCTGCCAACTCTGTGCCTCACACCTTCAGGAAAGGCTCTTCCTTATAGCCCAGTTAGTCTCTCTTGGTGGCTGGAAGCCGTTATTTGCCCTTGGTGCTGCTGGGCTGAGCCTTTCAACCGCCTCACAGACCCTGGCGCCTGGTCTACGCAGCCATGGCCAGGGCAGGGGTGGTCCCACGGAGCCAGGCCTGGTGACTTACACATTGGAAGGGCCTGTGACTGCCTTGCTCCAGAAGGGAGGGCACAGCATGCCAGCATCTTGAGATGTTACAGCCTGACTGGTGTATACGGAGTTTAAAAAAACTCATGGCTGAGTTCTCTGACCAGAGCTCTGCCTCCTCTCTTATCAGTCAGTATTCCCTGTTAATTCAGATTGAGGATGAGGGACTGTGGCTTGCACCTGATCTATGAAGCCTTGGTTACCACTCACGGCCTTGAAGTTCATCCAGTCAGGCTGTGTCCAGACTCGCTGGGCAAATGCAGCGTTGGGGGATGTCAGCTACCAGGGCACAACGGGAGAATTAGGATATTGCTCATGCATGCTGTGCTGGGTGAGGCGTGAGGCTGGTTGCTGTTTCCTTTCATGGTTTTATCTTCAGTGAGCTACAATAGCTTCCAGGAGCTCAGGGACAGAGTGGGAAAATGGCCTTGCCCCTGAGCTTGATTCCATGGAATGCTTCTGATTTTTAAGGGACTTTACCCTCCTTTGGAATTTTGAGAAGGAAAAGAGGATTTGAGCAATTTGAAGTTACTTAGTCTAGCCCTGACCTCTACTCTTTACCAGGGCCACTGGGACAGGACGCATCTCCTCTTCACGGATGAATCACAAACCCCAAGTTGGTTACCCAGCCACAAGAGAATGCTCTTCTTATGTGTCACTTACTTCCTTTTGCAGCCAGTAACCTGGGTCACATGACTCTGATTACAGTTCATGACTGAATGAGGCTTTTAAAGTAATAATAATAATAATAATACATTATTATATAATATAAATATAAAAATAATAATAAAAGCCAGCACTCCTATGGTCCTCACCCTCGGCCAGATAGTGTTCTAAGTGCATTAGGTAAATGCTCATGGACCCCATCAGCCCTTGATGAGATAGCTACGGTTATTTCCTGGGTCCTGTTTTTATTGTAGGGGGCCAGAACAAGCTTGTTTTCAAACCAGATCTCACTCTGGAAGAAGTGGCGGCAAAAAATCCCCAAGTGCACAGAGGCCGGTATCACCCTGAGGAATGTAAGGCTTTGCAGCGGGTCGCCATCCTCATTCCTCACCGGAACAGAGAGAAACACTTGATGTACCTTCTAGAACACCTTCACCCCTTCTTGCAGAGGCAGCAGCTGGACTATGGCATCTACATCATCCACCAGGTGAGTGGTCTGGTCTGCCACCCGCCCCCCCCCCCCCAAGTCCTCCTCTCTCTCTGGGATGTGACTGAGGGACTTGGCCATTGGTGTCTCTTGGGTAAAAGAAGCATCAAACTCATTAAAGAAAAGGTCTCCTACCTCATTTATCCATGAAAGGAGTAAAGGAAATTCTTGTCTCGGAGTGTGGAATAATCAGACTAAACGCTGGGAAATTTTACTGCCTCTTAAACGAACCTCTGGAGGAAGTCTGTTTTGTTTAGTTTAGTTTTGTTCTCCTTTTTGTGTGTGAGCCCTTCCATGTTAGCCAATGACTGCCCAAAGAATTTCCCTGGAGATCTGCCTTGTATTTCCTCCTGCCTTTGCTATACACCACATGATGAGACGTTGGAATTGTTTTTCATTATTGAGCATGGCTAATCAGCGGGGATCTAGGCAGAGGATCCAACAGATTACCGTATTAATAGCCATGGGGTCCTATGACTGTCTCCATCTTTCTGCCTGTAACTTCTATTATATCAAATGGATTATGTGTAGTTTTCACTTTCTTGACTCCCTTATTTGGCTTCCAGAAGCGTGATTCATTAGGAGCACCATAAGTGGTAAGCTTGGGCTACTTTTGAAGAATTTAGCTCTTAAGTGGAGAGGCTGATGAAGATGCCTGTATTTGGTATTAATGTTTATCGAAAGAAAAGGCATCAACTTAAATATCCATGTCTAGCTTTCCAGGATTGTCCCAGACCATTCAAATCCTTACAGATGCCAAAAATGTCAAAATCATTCACTACATGTTTAATATTGTTTTATAATTGGTAGTATTTGTTTTAGGAAAACTTTTGACAAATCAGAGGATGCAGTTCTGCAGTATATACTTTAAAATAAATGGGGGCTCTTGAAATCAATGTGCATATATAATACACCCATTTTTTAGGATTTGAAACAAAATTTTACTATTATTGGTTTATAATTTTTTTAAAAATTATTTATTTATTTGGTTTTTTTTTGAGAGAGAGAGAGTGCATGCAAGGGGGGAGGGGCAGAGGGGGAGGGAGAGGGAGAGAATCTCCAGCAAACTCTGCACTGAGCACAGAGCCTGAAGTGGGGCTCAATCTCAGGACCCTGAGATCATGACCTGAGCCAAAACTAACAGTCAGACACTTAACCGACTGAGCCACCCAGGCACCCCTATAATTATTTTTCTTTTTAACATTATTGGTCATTCTCAGTTCTTACTCAGGACAGCACCCCCAATGTATAGTATATTTGTGAAATATACTATATGTCTGCTTGGTGCTACTCTTTTCATGAAAATACTGTGGTAACTTTTGAGAACTGCTTGTATTTTCTTTATGATAAACCCTTTATTAAACTGGAATTTGTTTCTTAAGGATTATGATACAAACAGCCATGAAAAAATTAATTCTGTAAAATCTTTTTCATACTATAGCTTTGTACATATCACTATTTGAATTGTGTTCTCTTCTTACTCAGTGATGAATCCTTTCTGTAAGGTCACTATGAGGATTGCCTCCTTTTTTTTTTTAAGATTTTATTTATTTATTTGAGAGAAAGAGTGAGTGCAAGTGGTGGGGGGAGGGATGGGGAGTAGAGGGAGAGGGACAAGCAGGCTCCACATGGGGCTCAACATGGGGCTCGATCCCATGACGCTGGGATCGTGACCTGAGCCAAAATCAAGAGTCTTGACACTTAACCGACTGAGCCACTCAGGTGCCTCAAGGATTACCTTTTGCCAAGATTAAAACAGGATTCTCTTACAGTGATTCTAAGAAGCTTTTAAGTAGCTTAGAAATAATTAGCAATAACCTCTGTTTATAGGTCCAGATTTCCTGGTGTTCTCTGGTAAGCGATGTCTCTTGGAAGCTTAGTGTAAATTTGTTACATATGGTAAGATTGGTTTCAGCTGGAAGTTAGACAGTAAAGCAGGATACTAATTGGTATGACTAATGTATAAAGAAGGTTTATACTTTTATGTGGAATAAATAAATGTATGTTTTTAAAAAAATTCTGAGTTATTTTTATTTGTAGTTTAAAACGATGACCTTTTTTATTTTTTATTTATTTATTTTTACGATGACCTTTTTTAAAATTGTGAAATATACATAAAATTTAGTATCTTAACTTTTTTTTTTTAAATTTCTGATCAAACCGTTTTATTGAGGGGCTTCAGGGCAAAGTCAGTGGGCTGGGAGAACAATGAGATACGACGTCCTCAGCCCTGCCAGGATCTCTCCCGTTCATAGTCACTAAAAGTGCATCTTAACTGTTTTTAAGTATACGGTTCAGTGGTGTGAAGTATATTCACATTGTCGTGTAACCAGGCTCTAGACATTTCTCGCCTTGCAAAACTGAAACTCTGTACCCATTAAACAACTCTCCATTTTAAGCCATGTTTGTCACTTTTGGAATATAAGTATATATGAAAGAACACAAAGAAACCAAATGGTTTTTTACTGTTAACTGCATCTACTTTGTCAGATTTTTACTTGGGAAGAATAATTCCAACTCCTGCCTCTGAGCTGGAGAGGGGCACAGTGTGAAACCTTATCTCTGGAGCTTTCCAAGTTTTATTTTCTGTATCTATAGGCTGGAAGCAAAAAGTTTAATCGAGCCAAGCTCTTGAATGTGGGCTATCTGGAAGCTCTCAAGGATGAAAATTGGGATTGCTTTATATTCCACGATGTGGACCTGGTGCCCGAGAACGACTTGAACCTCTATAAGTGTGAGGAGCAGCCCAAGCATTTGGTGGTCGGCAGGAACAGCACGGGGTACAGGTAAGCGGGAAGGCGGCGCCGCTCATGGCTTGCACAGGCTGAGAAGCTCGCTCTGTTGTCATCAGGGCTGTGTGGGACGTAGTGTCCAGACTATCGCAGAAAAATGAGGAATAGGAAAAATGATGCATGACCTATCACTTAAGTTCAAAACAGAAATCACAACAGTCTTGGCAGAGGATGAAGGACAACAGGGAAAGAACAGGAGAGGGAAAGCAGGCCAAGCATTGCAAATGATAGCCAGCCCCACCGACGGCACCCCCGTGGTGGAACTTTGCCAGTAAGTCCACACTGAGTAGAACTCATGTCATTTGCCTGGCTATCCTAACTTCCCCTTCCAGGAGGCAACAAGAGTGTGCCCCTTAGGTCGAACTTTAGGTCTCTGCTGTGAGATCATGACATTTCTTTTCAGACTGTGGCGTCTTCCCAGGGTCTGAGGGAGACAGAGCTGCCATGGAGGTGCATCGGTTTGGCACTTCTACAAATTCAGCTGTAAGCAGTTGGTCATGATGGGGAGAGAGGAGGAGGCAGGGAGAGAATTACACAATTATAACACAGGAGATTGCACCATTGTCTGCCCCGGGAAGGGAACATGAGACGGAAACCATGAATCCCTTGATACTGCACTTAATCTCAGTTTCCATGCTGCTCAGATCGTGTAGGTCTCTCACTTTGGGCTGTAAGAGATTTCCAAGAGTAACATCTCAGGTTATTTTTGCCTTAGGTACCGACTTTAAACCCAATCCCTATGTAAATTGTGGGATATAAACAAATACCTAGAATAAGCCACAATGGGTGGGCACACAGGGTCTTTTTTTTTCTTTTTCTTTAAATTTTTTATTGTTATGTTAATCACCATACATTACATCATTAGTTTTTGATGTAGTGTTCCATGATTCATTGTTTGTGCATAACACCCAGTGCTCCACGCAGAACGTGCCCTCTTTAATACCCATCACCAGGCTAACTCATCCCACCACCCCCCGCCCCTCTAGAACCCTCAGTTTGTTTTTCAGAGTCCATCATCTCTCATGGTTTGTCTCCCCCTCTGATTTACCCCCCTTCATTCTTCCCCTCCTGCTATCTTTTTTTTTTTTTGTTAACATACATTGCATTATTTGTTTCAGAGGTACAGATCTGTGATTCATCAGTCTTGCACAATTCACAGCGCTCACCATAGCACATACCCTCCCCCATGTCTATCACCCAGCCACCCCAGGCACACAGGGTCTTTAAGAAACACCTACGGAAAGGTTTAAACCTCTTCCCCAGGGAACGTGGCCCCTTTAGCATGTGCAACAATGGGAGCTTCCCAGTAGAGTTCCAAGACATGGAAATGAGAGAGCATGGCATGGTTTTGGGGAAATGCATGGAGTTTATTAGTGCTCAAGAATGAATGTCCAGGATGGTGGAGGGAAGAGAGGCAAGAGATGGGGGTAGGCAGGGGCCAGAGTAGGTAGGCCTCGTTCAGTCTGCTAAGGAATTTGAATTTCGTACGGAAGGGACTGAGGGGCTTCTGACACCTAGATACAGCTGAAGAATGACAGGAAAAGCTCAGTGCAACTGGCCTTTAGTGTACTGGGTGGAGCAAGGCTGAAGGGGAGAAGCTGAAAGAGGAGATGCCATGCTCCCGAATTTGGCAGGGGACAGTGGGACCAGAGGGCAGGGGAGCAGTCTGGAAGAGAATTGCAGGATTTTTTCCTTCGGGGTATTTTATCATGATCCTTTCCCGGAGGTTTTGCTTTCTGGTCTCCTTGAGCCACCTGTGCATGAAAGAAAGCCACGTATTATATTGGGCTACCTTGGTGTTTTCAGAAGCATGTCAACAGTCTCCCTAAAATTAATAAGATATCACGTGTAGAACACAGAACACCTGTACTTTGGACCCTTCCATAGATAACTTTCTGTGGCCCAGTTCTTTCTGCACATCTGTGATGAGAAATTATAACCACACAGGATTGTTCTTGTTGTTTATTTTTGGAGTGTGGACACAAGGGATTGTTTAAAGGCTTTTTATTGGGATTCTAGATTTTTATTTTTTATTTTTTTTGTATTCAGCTGGACCACAAGAAACTAAATTCTTCGGGTTTCCTGCTAGAAATTAATTTTGAATAAAACTTCAGTGCCACAAGCAGCAATTTCATCAGATGCTGCTCATTCTAAAAACGGCCCCTGCATGAATCTTGATGTTTTTGATTTGCTATTGTCACTGGCCAGACATTTCTTTCGTAACTAGATATCAGAAAGCCTTTGTCTTCTTTGAGTAACTGGCAGGGTTTTCTTAATATGAATCAGGTGATTTCTTTCGTAACTAGATATCAGAAAGCCTTTGTCTTCTTTGAGTAACTGGCAGGGTTTTCTTATTATGAATCAGGTGATTGAGTGTGTCTCCTCTTTTGATCTGGATGTAGGAAGCTGTGAGCCAAATCCATGGGCTTCTTTTAGAAGCTGAAAAGAATCTTAATTGTAGATCAGAGTTCTAATATATTTCCCATTTTAATCTTCTATTCTGTTTTAACTTTTCCTCTGGTCCTGGATGTTTGTCATTTATATTTTTCTACTTTATTGTATGTATCCTGTAGACGGCCTCATCTTCTGTGGCCCACGTAACTTAGGAGTTGCCCTCGTCCGCCTCCCCTAGCTCTTTGCTGTTTTGGGCAAAATTCCTCTAGTTGCGGGCCAGAGGGCAGGTGGGGTTGCAGGCAGCTGAATGTCTGCTCTCTGCTGGTCACTATGTTACACTGTGTCACAGAGCTTGAAACGCACATGCTTTGATCATTGTGGCTGCTGCCCCAGGAGTGTGATGAGAAGTGCAAGAAAGGTTTTCACTTCACGCACATGCAGAGGAAATAACTTAAAGGAACTTGCCCCCGCTGTCTCAGACTCTGATGAGGCCAGAAATAAATCTTGTTTATCTCACGACTGTGGATCAGTGATAAAGCCCTGGTCCAGCCTGTGGCACATTTTACTGCCAAGAATTCCTTTGCTACCTAACTGCTTTCTACGAGGACACTGCTGTTATTTTAGCGCTACATCCCCCCTCCCCCTGCCCCGCCTTGGGCCTTATAGACCTTTACAAATAAATAAGACTGTTCCAGGGCCAATTAAGTGGTCGTGCTTTTCCCGATAAGAAGAAAAACCAAAAGCAAAGATCGACAAACACGTAGACATTTGCCATTTGAGGAACAGCTGAGAAACTGAGAGTTCCTCGACCCTTCTTTCTGGCCGGTGTCCTTCTGTGCCTCCCACTGCGGCTACACGGCTCTCCAGGTGCTTCCAGTTGCTCCCAGGCGGCTCGCATTTGTCTCTCTCTTCACTCTTCCTCATGGAGTTCTGGCCACCAGGAGTTTCCCCATGCTCCTACCTACTGAATCCTCTCAGGCCCACCTGCCTCCGCCGCACGACATCTCCTTCCTCAGAACCCTGATGACGTTCGTGTCTTGTGTTAGACCCGAAGCTCTTGGAGGGCAGGGCCCTGCTGTTCCCGCGTCTAGCTTGCTGTCTTGCACACGGTGGCTAGTGGCTCCTTAATCAATCACGGCCAGACCAGTAATGGCGGTTCTCTCCTGGTGACCCGCTGTTGGTGCCTGGCAGGCGGTACCTGGGCAGGGCTGCTAATCAGAATTCTGATGAAGTTTCTGGTCTGCAGGGCCTTAAGGATGCCTTCCCAGAGGCTTCTGGGTGGCTCATTCCATTAAACGCGTGCCTTTGGCTCAGGTCATGATCCCAGGGTCCTGGGATCGAGTCCCGCATTGGGCTCCCTGCTCGGCGGGGAGCCTGCTTCTCCCTCTCCCGCTCCCCTTGCTTGTGTCCCCTCTCTTGCTGTGTCTCTCTCTGTCAAATAAATAAATAAAATCTCCCCCCCCCCCAAAAAAAGAACGATGTCTTGGCTGGTAACAGCTGCCTTCTGAACACTTTGTTCCTTTTGTTTATTTTAGGTTGTTGTGATACCATTTTCTAGAATTTTAGGTTGAGGGGTTACAAGTAAGTCTATTTTAAGTCTATTTCCATTGTGGGTTAAACAGGGCTTCCCTGTCTATACTCAGAACATAGAAACAAATAGCTGAACTACAAATTAGCCTTTGGGACTCCACCTGTTAGATGGCAAGTGTCTACGTGCTTATTGGTCTTTCCTTTTGCTTTTTCTTGTCTAGAAAAGCGGAAATATTTAATTGGTCCTGGAACACTTGGAACTGAAGTTAATTCAAATTAGAAATCCTCCATATGTTTGTATCTTTTTATTCAGCAACACCCAAGTTATTAAGCTGCCTTCATTTGCATTTCTAAACTGTTACAGTGTTATATTCAAGGGTTGTCTTTTTCTCAGATTTGCTAATTTGTCAACCAGTAATCCGTCAGAGTCCTGTACGACTGGGAGATGCTCTCTGCCCCGTTCCTCTTGATCTCTTCCCCGCCCCCTTTTGCTTATTGGCATCGCCACAGCTCTACCCTCTGCACTCTCCTCCTCTCACCTACTGTGTTGTCTTCAGGCAATTTCTCCTGCTCCTACATCTTCACGCACCACCTCTTGACATCTTCGTTCCGAAGCCGTATCTGTCGCTCTTCTCCTTTGAACTTGGATCTTACGTCCTTTTGCCCAGCAGCAAAAGCACCAGGGGTATCTCACATTCAGCTTACCCCAAACATAATTTACTGTCTTCCTCTTATTGTTCCATATACTCTATTTCTGTTGAAAGACTGTACCATCTATCTTGTCGCCCAAGCCAGAAGCCTCAAGATTGCTGAGGTGTGTTGGCTTCTCCAGGACACAGACTCGAAGATGGAACTTTGCATGCACGGGTGTGGAGTTTGCACACAAAGTGTGTGCAGGAGCTCTCTCCTCTCCACCCCACCCCGCCAAAAAACGTAAAAGTAAAAAACCAGTATATTCATCAGGGCATTCATTCATGCTGGACCTGGAGGCAGCCTCAGGATCCTTCCTGACCCAGTGCCCTTGGCCACCATTACTCCTCACTGGATTGGCACGTGAGATGAAATCTGTCATTCAGCTCTGATGTTGTGGTGCACATTTACAGGTACCTCTGTAGACCTCTGCACACAAACATTCACAGTCACAGGTGGGGAGCACTTTGCTTAGTGAGCGGACGTGAGCACTTAATCTAGACAGAGGAAAGAAGGGCCGACAGGGAAGGCCAGAACACTGGGAGGTAGAGGTCAAGCAGGAGTGGATGGATGAAAGTGCACGGTCTTCAGCGTGTTCCTAGAATGCCAGCCCTGACACAAGAGACTTCTGAAGAGTGTGTGGAGAACAAAACGGCCTTGTGCTAATGTTACCATGTCTCTCCTCTCTTCTGCTCCAGGTTACGTTACAGTGGATATTTTGGGGGTGTCACTGCCCTCAGCAGAGAGCAATTTTTCAAGGTGAATGGATTCTCTAACAACTACTGGGGATGGGGAGGCGAAGACGATGACCTCAGACTCAGGTGAACAACAGGGGCAGGTCCCCTTCACGGGGCTCTGCTGTGACTGGTGGCTCTAGCAACCTGCGCTTACCCATAGTTGCCGTGGATGCCAGTCCAGCAGGTCTTGAGGCCGCAGAGTCGGGCAGAGAGCAGGGCTGGGGCAGGGGGAGGGCAGGCTGGCCCGGATTGCTGTTCGCCACTGGCAGTACAGAAATGATGGAGGGTCGTTTGTTTCTGGCTCCCGAGTGTTTAGGGACCAGAAATGGTGACGGAGGTTTCTGGACTTGCTGGTGGGTATTATTTACGGACACAGGGTCCAAAATGCTGCAAAACTGCAATTTGAGGGAAGTGGCCAGAGAGCCTGCTGTAAGCCGTGCTTTTCCCCAGACCCAAGGGAATCCTGGCTCGGTTCTCAGTTTCCAGAGCAGAGAGTGCCAACAGCCTGTGAGAAGTGGCACCCCCAGGCTCAGGCCAAGAGGTCCTTTAGTGCTTATGCCTTAGCCAGCCCCACACACCGGGAGCGGTTGCTGGCCTGACTCCCAGGCCAGATTTGGAGCTGTTGGCTCCTCAGATTTTCTTGGACTACCTTCTGCTCGGGGGGCTCAAAGGGAGCATATCTGGCCTCTTCCCTCAGCTCACCCGCCTTCCCCCGCCCCCCCCTTGGGTTTTGTGACTAGACAGTTATGGGTATCCCTAGCTCCCCAAAATAACTATGCAAGAGCCTGAGGCTAGTATCTTCAGACTTCTAATAACAAGGCCCTTTGGGCTATTAGGAGACCCCCTTTCCTCCTACTGTTGCCTCTTAGAAAGGAAATTTCCTAGCTGGGGTTCTGAATTAATAGATGTGTGACTGCCAGAAATCTTCCATTGCTTTAGTATGGAGGAGCCAGGGTTCCATGTTGGTCTTGTTCCCATGTCTAGGCTGAGAGTCTCTGGAATGTTTCTGGCAGGAGAGAATGGATTTCCCTCACCAAAGGCTCCCCAGGAATAGTCATAGTGATGGGCAACAGCACTCTATGGCCCAGCGCATCAGTAGCCTGTGTGGCCTTGGCTAATGAAGGAGACGGGGAACCTGATGGGTTTCAGGGTGAGAGTAGCAAGGACTAGAGATAAACAGTATCCACTGTCTTCCCCAAGTCCATTTCACTGTGCAGATGGGATGCTTAATAGAATTTTGCACATTTCATGTAACTTCGCTATCTTCTTGATCCTCCTCAGCAGCAAGGTAGAGGGGAGACCCCAGTTTTGCTTTCACTTGAGAAGAACATCCTTGTTGGCTAAGATTTATTTGCTAAACATTAATTTACTCCCCTGGGCAACCTTGTCTGCACTTCCGTATTATGTTATGTGTGCAAAATGTGTTGCATGTGGACTGTTTGATTTGGGCCTATCATATCACCTCTATAACACCATTGCCATTTTACAAAGAAGCAACCAAGACCCGGAATCATGAACTGACTTACCCAGATTGTAAATGACAAAGTCTAGATTTATACCTGCGTTTGTGGGCTTTCAAGCTCGGGACCTTAAATGGTCATTACTTTCTTTGTTAAAAAAAGGAAACACTAAGTAAATTAGGCATCCGAAGAGACTTGATTCTCCTACTTGTCACGATGTTTTTTAAAATAATTAGAATGAGTACTTTCTCAGGTGTTTTGGAAAATGACAAACTATAAATTGACACATCTCCTTTGTACCCCAATATTAATGTTAAATGTGATTCTTTTATGGACTTACTGCCTGAGGCCCAACATCATAAGAAGATTCTTTTTTTTTTTAAATATCATAATAATCAAACTCTGTGTGACTGTGTGTGTGTGCATATGTGTAAATTTTTGCAAATGATTTTTTTAAGTGCCTGGTGGTAGATAAGTAGGATAGACTTTAAAAAAAGAATTCTGTTATTCTTCTAGGGTTGAGCTTCATAGAATGAAAATAATCCGGCCAATGCCTGAAGTGGGTAAATATACAATGATCTTCCATACTAGAGACAGAGGCAATGAGGTGAATATAGAACGGTAAGTCTTGGATTCACTTGCCAGGCTTGCACCTGCTCAGTATCTTTTGTCGATAAGGACTTTGCTGAATTCGATCAGATGAGTCCGTTTGTTTTGTTCAAAGCTTTTTATTAAGGTCATTTTCAAACCGTCATAAAAGCAGAGGGACTGGTATATTGAACCCTCACGTACCACATACCTAGCTTCAACAGTTACCAACTCATGTCCTCTCTTCTTTCTCCCACCTTCTTCTCCTCCCCCCACTAGATTTTTAGAAGCAAATCAGATATCACAGCATTTTATGTGTAAATACTTTGGTACATATCCTTAAATATAGGAAGTCTTAAAGGAGGAACCACTGTAGCATTATCATACCTAAAATAAAATTAACAGTACTTCCTCAAAATCATCAAATATCCAGTTAGTGTTTGGATTTCCCTGATTATCTCATAAATTTTTCTTCCCCCCTTAACGGTTGGTTTATTCAGATCAGGATCTAGACAAGGTCCACACATTGCATTTAGATGAACTCTCTGAATTCTCTTAATCTGCAGATTACCTCTCCCCTACCTTTTTTCCCCTGGCATTTTATTTGTTGAACAAACCAGGTCATTTGTCTGATGGAATTTGCTACCTTGTGGGTCTTGTGAATTGCATCCCGGCAGTAAAACTTCATATGTGCCTCTGACCTCTGCTTTCATTTGTAAACTGGGAGTTAGATCCTGGAGGCTTGAACGGAATCCAGTACAATTTGGGGGCAAGAACACTTCACCTATGGGGCCACGTAGCTCCTCTTATATCACAACAGGAAGACATGATGTCTGGTCCCGTCTTTGTGATTCTAGCTTTGATCTTTGGGTTTAGGTGTTTTCAGTCCCATCCAGGTTCCCCATCAGCATCTAATGATGTTAGCAGCCGTTGGTGCTCATTGCATAAATTCATTATTCAGTTAGGTATTGCAAAATTCTGATATTCTATCATGCCTTTTGCATTTATTAGATAGATTTTTCAGCAAAGGACTTGCCTTCTTACTTGAGTACACCAAGGTATGGTTGTTATAGAAAGGGCAGAATGAAGGGGCAGAATCAGTACTGATTTTTCATTTTTCAAAATGAGGAGTTGCTCTTCCCCAGCATCCTTCAGGATGTAGTTAATATTCCTTTCAGTGCTCAGTTTGTCTCATCTTTGGCGAGGGGCATCTTCTTCAAGCTGCCTCCTCAATCCTTTGACATAACTACACTAGTTTTGCGAGCCCCCTTGCCTGGGCTTCTGTGTGCTGAGCTGTTCTAGGCTCATCCTGTGCTTCTCTTGCCCCAGGAATTGGCCCTTTCACCAAAGAATCCTGGCAGATAAGCCGCTTCTTTCTGGGGCCATAGTTGAAGAATCTGCAATTCTTTGTTCTGATTTTTTCCTTCTAAATTTTAAAACCAGATTAAAGTGCTTTTAGCCCTTTTGTTGGAATCTACATTTTAAAACAATATTAAAATATTATAGGGCTTTGTCAGAGTTTATATTTTAAAACAATATTAAAAGGCTTTAGCCCTTTTGTTCGAAGGGCTAAAGTGACTTTAATAAAACTTCTGTTTTCCATGCGTCTTTCTAGTCTTTGTCCATAGGGGTGCATTTCCTCTCTTAAATTAAAAGGGGCGCCTGGGTGGCTCAGTCGGTTAAGCGTCTGCCTTTGGCTCGGGTCGTGATCCTGGGTTCCTGGGATCGAGTCCCGTGTTGGGCTTCTTGCTCAGCGGGGAGCCTGCTTCTCACTCTGCTTGTGCTCTCTCTCTCTCTCTGACAAATAAATAAATTTAAAAAAAATGATAAAAAATAAAAAATAATAGTAATAATTATGGAATAGATACAAAAGGATACTTATAAATTGTTTGAAAAGTCTGAAGATTCTTGATACCATGAACAGTGGTAGTGTCCCCCACCCAATTTGTTTGTTACCCGTGTAACCCTCCTCAATCCCATTTCCTCCCACCCCAAGAGGTCACGGATTTTTGTGACAATTACTTGTGGTGATGATAATTATTTCTGCTATTTCTTTGTTTTTGCTGTTGTTTTCCCATAGGTGGGTATCCCTGTACAAAAGATTGTTTAGTTTTATATGTTTTCCAATTTTATATAAGTGAAATCATACTGTTGCATTTTTCTCTGACCTTACTTAATTCAACATTGTGTTTCTGATCTCTGTCCACATTGAAAAAAAAAAACTATTCACATTGATACTGTAACCGAAATGTATTGCTTTTCATCCAGAGTTCCTAGAGACCAGTTCAGTTCACCACCTGCTCCACTCCCAATGTGCTGGGCCTCCAGCCATGCAGTTGTTGCTGCTTCTTGAAATTCATCCTGCTACTTTGCATGTCTCTGCATCTGGCACAGGGTGGTGTCCCTGCCTTCGTGTCCTTTCGCCTCACCTTTCTCCTCTTCTAAGCCGCGGCCATATTCCCTTTCTCTGCACTCCTCCCTCGACTCCCTCATGAAGTCAGGTGCTGCTTCATTCATCCTCCTCTACATAAATTCTAACTTTGCTTGGGACTCTGAGGAAAGCTATGTACCCTCCTGCCTACAGACAACAACATGGGAGGATTCCTAGATCCCCTGAAGCTTAGCCCAGGCCCTGTTAGCAGTGGATGGCAACGTATCACATTGTATTGGTGTTACCTGGGCATCCTTCTGTCCTGTAGACTGGGTACATTGGTCCCTAGGGTCTTAACATGGGGTCTGACACATGACCACGTGGCTATCATTGGTGTCTGTTACTTCAGATGGGGAAAATTAACTTTTTGCAGTAGGAAACCCAGTAGGTGCAATGATTTACAAAGATGCTCTTGTCAAATTTGGGGGCAAGGCAAAAAGCAATGGAAATCTATGTTAAATTCTTGCATTACGATTTACATTGTTTTTATCTTTAGGATGAAGCTCTTACATCAGGTATCACGAGTCTGGAGAACAGATGGGTTGACCAGTTGTATTTACAAATTACTCTCTGTGGATTATAATCCTTTGTATACCAACATCACAGTGGATTTATGGTCTGGTGCATGACCCTGGATCTTCTGGTGACATTCGGAAGAACTGAATATTTTATTGCAATAATTTTGGACTGGAGACTTTCCCTAGTAGCACACGTTAAGAACTGGTCGCAGCTAATTAGTGAGCTGAATTTTTCCTTTCTGTATTTTCTTAGCAGAGCTCCAAGTAATACGGACTGTAAAACAGTTGTAAGAAGACAGCTTTCGTGGTTGGTTTGCTCCTGGGGGTTATTAAAGACTGTAATACACATACTTGAAGGGCTGAGTCTAAAAGGACTCCTGAAGGGATAACATGAAGGCTAGCTACTTGAAAGCTTGGACTGAAGGAGATTTAAGTTTAAAGTGATACATGATGGGATCAGAAAAGCCCACGGGAAGTATGGTTGCTGAATGGTCCAGAGAACCGGAATTGTTCTCGTCTGAGGTAGAAAGGTACGAAGAAGTCCGTCTGTTTACTCTTTTATCCTGCGTGGTCGTCTGAGAAGGGGTGGGCCCCAGGTGAGAAGAAGGCCACAGAAGGGAGGAGAAAGGTGAAGAATCAAGATGCAGTGAACTTGGGCACGAATGGCCGGCAGGGGGCCGGGGTCGGAGGAGCAACCCCCGATGTGCTGGGCGCCCTGCTCTGTGGCGGGCGTCACCTGCCCACATACGCCTCCCAGGAGTAGCCCAGCAGGACACACGTTATCTACTAGTTTTTAAAGTATTTTTGTAAAATGATTTTGTACCTGCAGGATGTGAATTAGCAGTTTACAGATTACCTATTAACTAGTCATAAATCGAAAGTACCTCTGGAGTAAAATAATGAAAAAAGCTTTGGGTGCTCCATCTTGGTTTTTCACTGTTGTTTGAGGCCTATGGATGTGTTCATTTCAGCATCCTTAATCCTCAGCGGTTTAGAAACACACACATTGGACTGAGCCCCCTCACTCCCTCTCTTCCTGGTCCTCCTGTTCCTTTCTCCTGTTCTTCCTGCGTGAAACCCCTTTGAATAACCAGCCCCAGGCCTGTGGCAGGTGCACCTGCATCTCATTTCCTGGGCTGCGTCATGCTTCTGTTCTCTTCATCCTCCTGGGCTTGCTCCTTTCCCCCATCAACATCAGCTGTGGCCGGGCTGGCCTCCGGGGCTCGCCTGGTTGGGTATAGGATAGGGAGGGATGGAGGCCAGGGCTCAGGAAGCCTTTGATTTGGGAGGAAGATGGGGCCCCCGGGGGCTGTGACTTGGGAGAGAAGAGGACAGTACTGAGCTTCCTGGGGTGGGGGGCGGGGATGTGGGAGAATAGTCTCAGGAAGATAATAGGGGGTGGATACCGGAACACAGAAATATTCAGAGGTGGATACTCGGATACAGAAATAATACTGTGTTTGCGTGGGTGAATGGACACATAAATAACGTGGATGTGGACGTTCTTCCGCAGGCATTGTGGCACCGTGCCCCAGGCTCTCCCAAGCCATCATTGCTATATGTCACTTTCATTGTTCCACTTGAACATGAATGAGTGCCAGCCGATGAGTGTAGATAATGTCCTTCCCAAACAGGGCGAGGGAGGGGAGGGAGGGCTTGGGGATCTCGAGAAAGGCAGCAGTCACCTCCCAAGTAGGGAAGGAGAATTTGAAAGGAAAATACATTTTATAGACAGGACAGGTTTACCTAGGGCTGGCCTGGTTTACCTTTGACTCAGTAGGGACAAGTAAAAGCTGTTTTTGGTTGTTGTTGTTGTTTTTCATTTAGCAAGGAAATAATGATGGTTTTCAGCTTTCCGCCCTTGCTCTTCTCTCTCTTTCTGCAGAATCTTGAGCATTCTGCCCCACGTTCTCTTAATTATACAGACTGGACTGCTGTGATTGCCAACAGCCCATGCCAGGGATCCCCAGTTTGGAGCTGTGGGTTCCTGGTCGTGGTTGGGAGGGTCAAGGAAGAGAATACTGTGTGCAAGGAATTGGAGGATCCATATTTGAGAATTCAGTTTTTTAGTAAATGGGAAAAAATACAGCTCCTACCATGTGGAAATTCCCCATGTGTTTTCAGCTACTAACAGGCATCCGCGTTTTTGTGGAAATGTTTTAGAAACCACTGCTCTGTGCCAATTACTATTCAGGTTTTCTTTCAGCCACGGTAAGTTGTTTCAGTGACTCATCGTGAAACTTCCCAGGGTGGAAGAGAATTTTTTAAGACCTTTGCTTATTGCTCCCGCCCTCCTGCTTCTGTCCTCGGCTGGGCAGAGGACTTTGGCCTCAAAGGAACCAAGTGTTCCTGCCCTGTGTGTCTTCACTGTCAACTGCTACAAAGAGGCCAAGCTTTTTGAGCTTTGTACACAGGGCTCCTGTAACTGTTAAGGATTGTAGGAGCGCAATCTATTTGGACATCACAAATACGTGAACTGCGTTACTTTACACGTTTTTATTGATTTTTTTCTCACCCTGCCACTCAGTTTTATCGTGCTGTATGGTTTGTGATGTTTTTACACACACTTTATTGACCCTGGTGACTCTTGAGATTAGTAGGGTAGATGAGGAAGTAGAGGTTTTGAACAGTGGGGGCCTTGCCAGAAATCTCACCGCTAGTAAATGGCAGAATCGGGGTACAGACTCAGGTCTTCTGACTTCATGACATCATTTTTGCCATCATCGTTGCTTCTCTCATTTTTTAATTTTTAATTTTTTTTTTTGAGGTGGGGGACTTCTTTGATTTTTAACGGTAGGTTTCCTGAATCTGTATCCCTGTTCTAGCTCCTAGAGAAGTTTGGTATCTTCTGGGATCTAAAAGGTATGTTCCATTCTCATCTGGTCTTGGAACTTTTTTCCAGACTCCTTCCCTGTTTTTCTGCCCCTAGCCCCTTGACTTTCACTCAAGCCCCTATTGGACAGGTGTCCCAAGGGCCCCAAATGCTCTGTGGATGGGCTCTTGGGAGAGATGAAAGATATTTTCCACTAGACTCAAAACCTCCACTTTCTCCATGTTTTGTACATATATACAGTTCCTGCGCAAAGCCATTAACACCTCCTCCTAGATGGAGCATATTCAGATATATTTCATAAGTACTTTTTTGCCAGTCACATTCCAAACTTTTAAGTCCATCCCTTCGTACCTTAGATATTTAAGCTGTTGCCACCCTCACTGGGGTTAAGTACACTGAGGACCACCTTACACCTGCTGAGAGGGTCCGACAGGTCTCAGAGATATTCACAAAGGAGTGGCTGAGAGTCCCACCCCCAGGGAACAGGACTGTACAGGCAAAGGCTCCATTGTTCCACTGATGGCTATTTAAGCTGAAAACTCAAAATTGAACCGTGTGTGTGTGTGTGTGTGTGTGTGTGTGAGATTTCAGGCCTTGGAAGAGAGACTGGTGAAGGGCGTGTCGTAACAATAATTGAATGCTTGCCCTGCATTAGCCAAATTACCTGTGTGTGTATGAGTTTTTTTTACTTTCCAATAACCCTATAGGCATGTATGTACTACAAAGAAAAAAGTTTCAAGTTACGTAACTTACCAAAGTTGGTAAAAGGAAGAGGTAAGTCTTGAACTGAGTCTCCCTCCAATACCTTGTGTCCCCCCACCCTGAATATCACATCGTCAGGAGATGATAAGATTTCTCTGTGAGACCAACAAGGGCAGAGATCTCATTTGTAGCGAGGACTCTAGAAATAATACACAGAACATGAGATATATCCATTAAAATGTCTTATTTTGGTGACCCTAGTACATTCTTCTATGGAGTAGAAGTTTTGCTGAAAAGCTATTACTCAATTATTGTTTGAGGGCCAGTCAATCTAGACCAGTATATTTGGTCATCAAGCTTACTGTAATAAATTGCAGCAACATGACATTAGTTGGCATGTTTCCAAAGATTATGGGCCAAGCAGAGTCCTTCACTCTAGACTTAGAGTATATAACTTCTTATTGGTGTCTCATAGCCTCTTTCCATTCTGATGCACTTGACATATCTTACTGAACCCTCCCAGTCCCCTGTGAGGATAGACCTGTTTTCTTGAAGCAGGTTCCAAGAGGCTAAGTAAATGCCAAAGTCCTGCAGAGCTGGGATTTGGAGCCAGATGTTTGACTCCAGAGCTCATGTTCTTAACCAGCCAACCAATACACCAAGAGAGGAAATAGGGATGGGCAGTTATTTGGAGAGGGGCTGTGCCCTTCAAAGACCTCCCCCCCGGGAACACATCTGCAGTTAAATAAGTTGGCATTATGACTCCCAGTGAGAGAGAACACACCATAGGGAACCATGAGGTGTCTTAGGAAAAGGGAGTTAGAACCTATTCTAGCATTTGGGTTTCGGTTGGGTCATTTGGGGAGGGCCTAAGCAAGCAGGGTGTGCTCTACATTGGACATTGTCGGAAAGCAGAGACAATTCTGAGTGTGAATACGTTTTATTCATCTGGACTAGCAGGAGAATAGAGCTATAACTGGTAAACTCACAGCAGTCACTTATTTTAGCCAAAAGAGGGTATGTTTGGTATTTCACAGGTGGCACAGTGACCTTATATTTGTGCTTGGACAAAATTAGGAAGTGGACTGACTTTGCCTCATTTTGTGTGACCGTATCTGAGTTTGGTATTCTGTGAGATTGTTTACATCCAGTAGGATTGTTTACATCTAATAGCCTAGGTGTGAGTGCAGCCTAGTTTCTGAATGTTGGGGGCTGCTGTTTTCTTTTTTAGCAGGAACTCAGGGTGGAGGCCACTAGAAAGTAGGGCATGATGGCACCCTTTCTCTTTAACCCCAGAATTTGGCTTTTTTTTCTCTATCAAAGTTAAGTGTGTGTGTGTGTGTGTGTGTGTGTTTTGGGAGTTGGCTGGGGACAGTGGGGAGGGTTGCTTGGAGGAGGCTCTGGGAACTATAGGTCAGTGTGTGTGTGTGTGTGTGTGTGTGTGTGTGTGTGTGTATTGGGAGTTGGCTGGGGACCGGGGGGGGGGGGGGGGGGGGGGGGGGGGGGGGGGGGGGGGAAGGTTGCTTGGAAGAGGGTCTGGGAACTATGCATTTCTCAGCAATGCTGCCTTTTCCCAAGATGTTTGTGCATCTCATTAGCTGGGGCCACTCAAGCCTTCTAAAAATGTCACACATGAAAGCAAACTCTGTACCTTACAACTAGCCTTCGCTGGGTTTCTTTTATGATTCAGCTTCATGCATTGAAGGTGATAAGGATCTGGGTGTGGTGAAGCAGAAACAACAAAGGAAAGGAAATATTAGATACAGGAGGAGAAAGATACTTGTTCAATCAATAGAGGTAAGAAGGCAGCTGAGTTTGCAGATTCTCAGGGGCCGCCTGGCTTGTCGGGGATGGGTGGGGCTGGGGTGGGGTGGAC